CCCAATCCAATAATAAAAATAAAAGTTAGGGATATATGTGTTTTAAAAAATACATTTAAAACGGCAGGCAGGTCAGAGGCAGTGGTGCCGGGGCATGAAGGAATCAGTGGGAGGTCGATTCCCTGCATGAGAAAACAATTGGCTTTGGTTGCACACAGCAGAGGCCCGGCAAGCAGAAGCAGCCCCACCAATGCCTTTTACAAGCATCAGTGCTAGGCAATGCTTTAAGCTGGTGGTCAGTGTGGGCTTCAGGGACTGGCTGTCTAGGACGGACCACTGGCAAGAACTAGCCCAGAGGTGCTGACCTGCCCTGCTGCAAGAGTTTTGTCAGAGAAGGCCTCTGGTGCAGAGAGAGGAGTCAGGGCCAGGCCGGGGGGGGGTAAGCATAAGAGGTGACCAGCTTGGTGACTTTAGCAGGAAGGGGGCGTAAAAAGGGCAGGACCCGCAAACCTATGCTACTGGGCAATGGGTGGGGGGTACACTTTGCCCTTTAAAGGATCTTGCCCCATCACCAGGAGGAGTGCATGCTTTATTTTACAAGAGAATGACAAAAATGTTTCCCTCCTGTTGTCACCGCCGCTGCTTACACCTGTGCTGTCAAATGCCAACATTGCGGCCTCCCCTCCTGGCGCATCTCCTCCTTCCCTCTAATTCTATATATAATGTCACTCCATATTTAAAGGAGAACTATGAGGTGAGTGATTTTCAATCTGAGCCGACCTGTGACAATGAAACAATGAATACCGTCGCTCACTTCTCGATCTACCCCTGCAGAGAGCGGTGACTGTCACTCACGGCTCCCTGCAGGGATTCTCCCTCTCCCCGCTCCGATCCTCCAGTGCTGACTGGCAGGAACGGACGGGGGAGGGGGCGGGCACAGCTGGCTATATATATACAACAGTTTGAAGGTGGCCCAACCGACCACCTTCCTATTGGTCAATTGTAAAGTCACCTCTAGTCCTCACTTAGGTCCTCTTGGCCATGCAAATGAGGACTTGAAACAGGGTCAGCAAGGATTGGTCCGATAGCTTGAATGGGAGGGTTGATATGTGTACCATTGTCATTAACATTGGGTTTCCAGAGTCGGTATTGAATGGGGTCTCTATAGTCCTAGGTCCATAGTCTCTAGAAAGGAGGCTAGCCCTCAGGCTCCTCCAGCAGCCCCAGTGACGGTTCAGTCCGTCACACCCGCTATATACTGAGCTTTGGGACACGGGAGAACGCTGGTTTATGTTCTCCCGTGACCCCATAGTTCTCCTTTAAGCCTGAATGCATTGCCATTGAACTATGGGCTCCTCCATGCTGGTTTTACTTTTCTGCTGATTAGCTTACTATCACTATGTGATCCAGGAGGTGGCTGTAAAGGCCGCCAGTCATCCGGCACAGCCCAGATGTCACTGGTGGAGATGGAGATGCCAATGAATAAGAAATGCGTTTACCACTAACTCAGCAGGAACGTGACGCTATAAAAAGGGAAGTTCTCCTTCAGCACATATTAAAAGATATTTATATTTGGATGAAGCAAGAAGTGACTGTGTGCTGACCGATGATCGGGAATACAGAAGTCAGTGACGGGGTGGCGGCTCCAATCCTCAATATTATATAGAAAAGAGCCGCACTCCTCTTCAATCATCATGCGTTTATATTAAATGAATTCCGAGGAGACCTTTCGAGCACACTGCCCGGTACCTTACCGCACAGCTTTCCAATACGCATCCTGGACAACACCTGGGATAATACGTTGGATGGAGAAGTGGAAATGAGACCAAGCACAAAACAAAACAAAATGTTTCTTTGTGTGGGAGCGACCAGCGAATCGTGGTTACATAGGGGTAAGGGTTACATGTAAGTTGGTTCTGTACCACAGGACCAGTTGTGTGTTGTAACTTGTTTTTATTGTATCTACTACAATTATTATTATTATACAGGATGTATATGGCACCAACAGTGTGCGCAGCGCTTTACAATATAAGGAAGACATTACAATCACAATACAATTCAAGACAAGCACAATACAATTCAATACAATCACAATACAATTCAAGACAAGATGGTAAGGAGGGCCCCGCCCCTGAGGGCTTACAATCTAAAAGGGGAGGGGCCAGTGATACATGAGGAGGGAGCTGTGTGGGGATGAATTGTTTGAGAATGTGATGGTTCAGTGGTCAGGTTGAGGTGGGATTGGCTTCCCTGAAGAGACGAGTCTTTAGGGATCGCCTAAAGGCAGTCAATGTGGGAGATAGTCGGACAGGTTGGTGGGAAAGAGTTCCATTGGATGGGAGAGACTCTAGAGAAGTCCTGGAGGCGAGTATGGGAGGAGTTGACAAGGGAGCTGGAAAGCAGGAGGTCTTGGGGGGAGCGGAGGGGACAGTTAGGGTGATATTTTGAGACGAGGTCTGAGATGTATCCGGGGGCGGAGTTGTGGGCGGCTTTATAAGTGACTTTTAATATTTTGAATTTTATCCTCTGTGCGAGTGGAAGCCAGTGGAGGGATTGGCAGAGGGGGGAGGGGGGTTGCAGACACTGAGCGATTGGTTAGGTGGATGAGTCTGGCAGCTGCATTGATGATAGACTGAAGGGGGGAGGAGCCTGTGTAGTGGAAGGCCAATGAGGAGGGAGTTGCAATAGTCAAGACGAGAGATAACAAGATGACCTTATGCAGGCTGAGATATTTAACTGACCTTTTGTAACAAAAATGTTAAAACATTCAATAAAATATGTTAAAAAGAATTCCTAGTATACAGATAGTTCACCTGGACCCCCCTGACGCGTTTCACTGTAGAGTACAGAGCTAACGAGGAAATAAACTTCTACACAAATTCAGCACTCGAATATGCAAATCAGCATTTGTTACAATTAGAGATGCACCGATACCGGTATTTTGGTACCGAGTACGAGTACCGATAATTTTTTTCCAGTTCTCACCGATACCGAATACCGGAAGTCCCATTCAGGAAGCCAGGTGGCGTGTAAAGACTCGCCACCCGGCTTCACGATTACGCCAGTCTCTCCTCTCTCACCTCAGCATGTCCAGCCTGTCACCCCCGGGGCCTCTCCAGCCAGGAGCGGCCTTCCTCCGGTACCCAGCCCGAGCCGTCTTGCTGGCCAATCATGGAAGCCGTGCGCCGTGCTTCCTGATTGGCAGGGAGGCCGGCTCCATGCTCCCTCATCATGAGATGGCAATTGTAATGGCGTGTAATGACGCGCTGCCCGGCTTCTTGACATAGGAAGTATCGGGCTAGGCATCGGAGCATTTGGCCGAGTACCAGGGGCGTCCCGAGGCTGGGTGACGCCCGGAGCGGCTAGCGGGTGTCACCCCAACGAGACGTCACCGCGCATGTGCGTGACGTCATCGCGCACGGGCGGCAATCTTCTGACACCTGCCGGCGGCCATCTTGGTGATGGCAGAGAGAGGAGGGGACAGCCACCCGGCGGGATAAAGTATGCCGCCGGGTCCCCTCCTCTCTCCTGATACGTTCGGGCCTGCGGTCCCTGACGAACGCCTGACTTTTTAGAGGGGGGGGTGACACCAAAATGACTGCCAGTCATTTTGGTGTCACCCCTCCAATCGTGACAACCGGGTGCGGGCCACTGGCGAGTATTCGCCCAAATACTAGGTATCGGCACCGGTATCGATACTAGTATCGGTATCGGTGCATCCCTAGTTACAATGTTACCAAAACTTCGTCCAGCCCTCAAATAAAGATACATCGTCTCTACAAATAGGATACAAGCCAGCTTGCGTATGTCCCTCATCATAACATTCATATTGTATCCTATATACTACATTGTTATCAGATAATACAAGTTATAAGATTACAAATATACAAAATATCGGATGAACTCGATGGAATTGTGTCTTTTTTCAACCTAGCAAAGTCCAAATCCCATTCGCACTACCACGGTCTCAGAGATCACAAGGTATACGTGGTGCTCAAGGTAACCGCACGGATGGCGACGTGCAAACGCTAGTGATAAATAAAAGGTATTTCACCGGCACACACTTGAAAAATCTCTTATAGGAGAACTATGGGGCTAAGGCTTTTCCCCATAGTTCTCCTTAGGGTAACGGGAGGACACAAACTAGCGTCCTCCCGTCACCCTAAGCTCAGTATACCGCCAGCTACAGCTCATTATATACTGAGACGCCGCAGCTGAAGCGGATCCCGACAATTCAGTCTGGAT